TGGGATGCAAAGTAATCAAATACTGGCCTTGCCTTCTTGCCAGTACCCTGCATTTCATTTTACTCTTCATTGCCTTTGAGTACAGAATTTTTTTTCTCATCTTTCAAAGAGGAGGGAGTAATCTATCAACTCTCTTTATAAGACTACAATCTGGTTCCAGCCTATGAAGACTAAGGTCTGCTCAAAGGCTAGTAACTCACTAACCTCTGTGAGCTCAACAAGAGAAAAGGAGTATTTAGCATTGATTGTATTCAGCTATGGGCTTTTGCTGTAATGCTAGAAACTCAGGAAACATCTCAGTCAGTATCTATGACTCTCTAATAGAAAACATATTCCTTATTTCCTTTTACTAAAACTGCCAGTTGAGTTCTGTAGATGTGGTTAGATACCGTAGAGTTACCTCTGCTCATGAGAACACCATCCAGGAAAGGAACAAACAACTACTTAGATCTGTATCATCCTGATGATCATGTGCAGAGCTGATCATTTTAATTCATTGGCTGATTTTTGAAAATAACTTGACATTTTCTAGTCTGTCATAGTATGTATGGACGATCCACCATGAAAAGCATTTACCATGAAAGCACCTCAGAGATCGCTACCAACAGATGGCTGGTGACTATGCATGAAATATATTGACTGAAAATGGAAACAAGTCTCTCACTTGGGAGTTAAGAATTCTAACAAGAAATCACTAATAAGTCTAATGAAATCTTAAAAAAAGGACTAAATTATGACAAAACCTCTGCTAGTAAATTTAGTTATATAGCCTAAAAAGGATATTGCACTGCAATCCTGAAAGTACATGGTTCCAAAATCTCGAAAGTACAAGGTTACCAGTTGTTCTGCGGGGAAAAAAGATGGACAGTCTTCTCCCATGTGATTAACTGCCTCTGAAAACCCATCTAAGAGTCAGCTGTGGGTCACTTTGGTACACAACTCTATGTTTGCTACCGTCTCTAAGGTACATGGAAACAGGAGTGGCATCCACTTCCTAAAAAGCATGCCTCCAGAAACTCTATGAACTTTGATAAATGTTGATGGTTGTAGAGGAGCTTCGGGCCTTTTGTTCATAGGGTCGTTATGAGTTGTGCTCAAGTTGATAACAGTCAACAACAACAACAACATCGATCACCTCCTAGACAGAGAGTGAGCTCTGTGCCTTTCTTACAACAGACTTTGTGTTTCTTAGGGAGAATTTGGCATTGCTCATAAATGTATTCATAACATGTGTATGCACACATAGGCTATGGGGTTTATGTTCTGAGTTAAGAGTGTGAGGACCAGAGTAGTTTAGTTACTTTTTGAAAAGTTAAACGTTCCATTAGGAACAACAATTAAAAAAAAAATACTGTATATAAGTTGGGAGAGACTGGAGAGCATTATGCTAAGTGAACTAACTCAGTCTCATGAGGACAAATACTGCATAAGACCATTACTGTTAAAATAAAGATAACTAGTAAATTATGATGTATAGAGATCCAAGGGAAAAAAGGGTGGGAGAAGAGGGGTGAAGATGGGTAAAAGTAAAATCAGAGAGTTTGGCACAATTTGGTAGGTGGAGGGAGGGGTAAGGAAAATGAGAAAGATCTGGTAGAGACTTAAAATGACAGCATAATGATTGACATAGTCTGATGGTGATGGATTTTATAAAACATGATGAATGAGAATGATTGTATGAAACCCAATATGAATGAAGAGTAGTGTGAAATACAATATATATGAACTTTATAGTAAACCAGTATAAAATAAAATTAAGAAATACAAAGGAAAGTTCCATTAAAATAAAAATTGAAGTTTTGAATACTCTCGTGGTAGAGAGGTAAGGAATCACACTTCCCAAACAAAGGCACACAATTTGAATCTACCTGCTGCTACATGGGGGAAGGATGGACAGTCTCTTCCATTATTATTTACAGTCACCGAAAAGTCACTAGAGGGTACAAGTTCCAAAGAATAGATTCCAGTTAGGAAGGTAATAAAGAGGACAAAGTAAACTTTCTTTTTTAAATAAAAAAAAAGTTCCCTGATTTAAACAACATAAGCTCATTGCCACTGAGTCAGAACTGACTCATAGTTGACCCTCCATTGGGTTTCCTGTGACTAGAAATCACCAGGAGGAGATTGTCCATATTTGGTGACTCAGGACTGAGCTAAGCAGGAAAGAATGAGTAGCAACTATGTGTTCAGCTTCTGGCTCTTGTTCCAGTTATAGAAGTCCATGTGGAGCTGCTGGTGGATTCAAACTACCACCAGAGAGGTACCACCTTTAAATTAATAGGCACATTTCTCTATGGATGGTTCCACCAGAGAAGTTACCCTTATGGAGCTTGGTGGATTCTAACCATCGGAGAGACATCTTTAGGTGAGAAAGCACAGCTGCACATGGACTAGATAACAAGAGTCTAAACTGGCTTAAACATAGTGATTTTCATTTATGTCAAGCAACCTCACTTTTATGACATCAATGACAGTTTGTTACTAGTACTTGTTTTTTGGGTGGTTTTTTTTTTTTTTTTAAATTTTTCATCATATGGAAAGAACATTGAATGGGAATCCCAGAACACTTGACAGTGCTTATGTGAAACCTATACTTGGATCAGGAAACAGTCCTCAGAACAGAGCAAGGAAACACTGTGTGGTTCAAAATCAGGAAAGGAATATGTCAGGGATACATCCTGTCTACATACCTTTTCAATCTGTATGCAGAATAGATCATTTGGGAGGCTGGACGTTATAAGGAGGAGTGTGGCATCAGGATTGGAAAAGACTCATCAATAAACTGTGATGCCCTAATGACACAACCTTGCTTGCAGAAACTGAGGAGGACCTGAAGTGTTTGTTGCAGAAGAAGGTCAAGAACTTTAGTCTTCAATATGGATTGAAGCTCAACATCAAGAAGACAAAGATTCTCACCACTGGGCCAATTGACTGCACCAAGAGATGGAAAAGAGATTGATGTTAACAATTTCAGCTTGCTTGGCTCCACAATCAATATACTCTGGGCACCAGCAGTCAGGAAATCAAAAGATGAATTGCACTGAAGAAGTGAGGGACCTATCTAAAGTCCTAAAGAGTAAATATTGTCATTCTAAGGACTAAGGTGAGCCTGATTCAGGACATGGGTTTTGCAATTACATGCTATGCATCAAAGAGCTGGACAATGAATAAGGATGACAGAAGAAAAATCTATACCTTTGAGTGGTGCTCCTGGAGAAGAGTCTTGAATATACCATGGACCACCAAGAAAACAAATAGGTCTGTCTTGAAGAGGGTGAAATCAAGTTTCTCCTTAGAGACAATATTTTTTATAAATTTTATTAATTTTAATGAACATTTACAGAGATTTTGGGTTCTAGTCATTCATTGTTGCACAATTTTCTCCACCCTCCCCCCCATTTGTTTTTCTTCCCCCCCCTTGAAAGTCTGTTTTAATTGTCCAATTACCACAGTGCTTGTAAAGCCAGTTCTGGTTAATCTCCTTTGTCAGTGTGTCCTTTGCCATTCCCTATCACTCCTCCCCGCGAGAGACTTAACCCTGATTCATAAGGAAAAGGGGATGGCATATTCTCTTAGCTACTTCCTGCTGAAAAGGAATGCTGTAGTTTTCAGGGTGATGATCTTCTCTCACTACTCTAAAGGGCCCCTCTGGCAATAGGAAACATGTAGACTATTGTGGAGATTGATTTTGGAATTTAGATTCACTGTTATCAATTGTGCTTAGCCGTACATGTTCATATCCTTGAAGATGTATCATGGGACTGTTGCAGCCTAGAAGACACAAATTTAACTAACAGGTTAAAAGTACATGAGTCAAAAATTAAAAAGCAATAATATTCCAAGTAGAGGTTCTAATAGTGGCACAAATCAAGTTACAGAGGGAAGGTAGTTCTTAAAATAAAAGGCCTATTGACTAGCACTTTGTCTATTATAGTATAAAGGTTAGGAAGATGTAGAGGCTCAACTATGTCATTTATTATTCTTAAGTCCTGGAGCATATTCCATCTACAACTGGGTTGTTTTACAGCTTGGAAGTCCGCATGCAAGGCAGAGGTGAAGTAAGGAACTGCTTATGAAGTTTTCCATCAATTCCAACAACTAAGAAATAGTGAGAAGAGTTGGGACCTCAGAAGGCTTTTAGGATCAAATAGGCTCGTGTGTCCAGGAGAAAACGAATATACTTACCAGTAATGTTAATGCTCACCCACAGCTCTTCTGGGAGGAGAAGCTCCATCTCACATACTTTGAGCACATGGCCAAGAAGGACCAGTCCTTGGAGAAGGACATCATGCTTGGAAGGGTGGAGGGACATCATAGGAGAGGACAACCCCAGATGAAATGGATTGACCTAGTAATGGGGGTAATAGGGTAGGCATGTTGAAGTCAGTGAGACTGGCTCAAGATAGAGCAGAGTTCAGAGCTATTATACATAGGGTCACTAAGAGCTGAAGGTGACTCAGTGGCACATAACAGCAACACAATGAAGAGAAGGATTTTCTTTTAAAGACATTCAAACTCAGTTAAAAGATAGTATTCTACTATTATCATGTGTTGTTGTTGATTGCCTTCAAGTTGAGTACGACTTATAGTGACCCTATGAACAAAAAGGCCTGAAGCCCCTCTACAACTGTCGACATTTATCAAAGTTCATAGTTTCCAGAGGCAAGTTTTTTAGGAAGTGTATGCCTTTCCTGCTTCCATACTATTGTCATAGAAAAGAGAAATTTTAAATTTGTTTTATCAAATAGCAGAACAGATGACTGTGAAAACATTAGATTGTCTATATATAGTTTACCAAAATGAAAGAACTCAAAAGTGATAAACTCTGCCATTGGCCTATAGGCTACATGCAATGAGAAATAGTTTGCAAAATTTTTGTCCCCATTGGTGGTTTTTTCATTTTTATGTTATTTATTCATTATGTATTTTGAAATATATAGATACTTTTCTCTTGTTCTTTTCTGTGTAAATAATTTGCTTTTTATATTTTAATCTTTTAGGTATGATGTTGATTCAAAGAGCCCCAACTTGTCCAAACATGTAAGTTCATGTTTTTTATGGTTATTGCATATTTGAGAGTTAACTGATAACTCTATGATACAAATTATATGAATTACTAATATTTGTTAAGATTAAAGTTATATCTCTAATTTTCATGAATTTGCCTAACAACAATAATTGATAATATTAAAGAACATTAGAGCAGCATTTTAAAAATGTTATTAAAATAAATATACTTTTAATAAATGAAATGTATTTTTCTTCTTTGCCTTCCTCTTTTTTTTTTCTTCTTTAAATAATGATGACAGTTCTCTATAATATTTGAAGTTGATGACATAGTAAACATATAACTTTTTGGGAGACTTTACTTCTCACAAGGAGCTTTAGTAGTGTAGTGTCTGCATGATTGCCTGATAACTGAAAGGTTGGTAGTTCAAGTCCAGTAGGGATTCCTTAGGAGTTCAATATTTTACTATCTTTTATAAAAGTTTATGTCCTTGGAAATATAATGTGTCAATATGACAACATAATAACAGTAGATTTATTTCTGAGACAATGAGAAATACCCTCACACTGGTAAAGCAGTTTATTAAATTGCATTCTGTGCAGTTAATTTGCTCTTCAGTATTTTTTTTTAAATTCCTCCTGATTGATGTTCTGCATCATACCCATTTTGAAAATACAATATGAATAAAAAAGACAATTCTCTCAAGTCTTTCATAGTCTTTTTAGGTCCTAATCTCCCCTCTTGAAACCCATTCCTCTTTGATCTCTAGGCAAACACTGTAACCTGGACAGTCTTCTGGTCCACAAACAGTAGGGTTGTCAAAGCTGAGTAGATAAAGAGAAGGATGTAAGAGGAAAGGAAGGGATGAGAGTGAGCTATTCAGACTATGTACTGGAGGTATCATCAGCTTCTGTATTGATATACAGAGTTCAATTTAGGCCAGACATAGGGTATTGTTAGTTGGTATTGAATTGCATACAACTCATAGTAATTCTATGAATAATAGATCTGATTTCTTCTATGTCACGCTCATCATTTTTTACATATGTGAGTCCATTGCTGCAGTTGCTTTATCAGTCCATCTGATTGAGGAACTTCCACCTTTAAAAGCATTATGTCCTTCTCCAGATAATAGCCTTTCTTAGCAACATGCCGAAAGTATGTGAGTTGAAGCTTTATCGTCTTTTCCTCAAGGAACACTCTGACTGCATTTCCCCCAAGACATACCTTTTTGTTCTTTTGTTATTTTATGGGATATTCAGTACTCCTCTCCAACAACATAGTTCAAAGGCTTCAATTCCTCTTCTGTCTTCTTTTAGTCATTGTCCATCTCTCAGATGCATAGCAAGTAATTGAGAAGACCATGGCCTGATTTATGCACAGTTTATTCTTCAAACTGAAAATATTGTTCCTCAGTACTTTGGAGAGATCTCTGACCCTGATAGAACAGGTTTTCAAGGAGAAGGACAAGTTTAGAGAACACATGTTGACGTAGTTTTTTTACAAAAGGAGACTTCCCATCATTCTTTCATAGAGCTGCTAGTAGATTCTGTAGCTGATCTTTTTCCTAACAACTGAAGGCCTTAACTATAGAGCCATCAACACTTCTGAGTACGTGAATGTAGATGTGTCCTGCTTGACAGAAAATCTGGGCTAACATTTGTACTTAGAGGTTCAAGAACTTTTTTGCTCTTCGATTTTTGCATGTTAGACTAGATGAGTATAGATGGGCTTATAGTTGCTAATGTTATTTCTTATGTAAGGATGACATAAATCAGAAACGAGCAGGGATTTAGGAGTGATCACAAAAGTGGTGGCCTGGATCTGGTGGCAGATACTATAGTTACCTGCTCCCTCCTTCATTAAGGGATTTGTAACATTTGTTTTTGTTAAGGAGGATAGAGTAGAATCATGTGAAATGATGTAAGGGCAGGTCTGTCCAAGAGATTGCCTCTATTACACATTTTGGTGAAGAAGGAACTACAATAAGCTCATTCCTTCCCATAAATAAAGTTCATAGCTTTTGTTCTCTCTTCTTCTTAGTCCACATAAAATTGATGTCTGCACAACCTACATATTCAAAGTTTTAAAAATATCATTGGAAGAATCAGAAAACAGAGTTCAGTTTTCTAGTAAAAATTGGTTTTTGATGTAAGAAAAGGAGATGCATACTTTTATGTGTAGAAACATCTCACAAATGCATAGCTTTTCTTTATCAGAACTGAAGTTGTAAACAGGGAGTCTGAGATAGCTGTTCTCTCTCTATGAGGGGCTACATAACTTTGACAGTGCGTGTTCTCTGAGCTTGTCTTTCTCTTTGAAGAGCTTTTTTTCTTTGTTTATTCATCATTGTGCATGTGGCTAACTGATCTCAGTAGTCCTGACTGGATCTAGATTTTCAAATGTCCACTGTATTCAAATATAATTTCTGGTTTTTTTTGAGAGCATAACTGTCCAAGGAAGGACTGTTTCTAAGGCTTTGGGTTGAGTATAAATGTCATAATATGTGGCCTTTACCCATATAACTGCCTGTAAAAGAAAGTAATAGTATTTGTAATGAGAAAGTACATAAAACATGACTAATTCTGTCTCAGTGATTTTCAGTGATACAGATATTTTTTTTATAAGATTTGCCCTCCAAGAAGTCATATGTCTTTTCCTTCGACAAGAAAAGTTTCAAGATAAAAAAATCTTGATTCTACTTTATCCTCATTATTACTATCTCATCACCATACTTCTTTAAAGAACAGCTAACATAACAACAACAATAATTTCATGAGAATTTCCTCCATTTGATTCGCTCTTCAGTTTACCATATTCCAGTTTTCATTCCAGCTTAAATCACTCTCACAAAGTTACATCAAGACTTAGTGACCTCTTTTCATTCTTTACTTTGTTTGATCTCTCACATTTTAGACATAATTAATGACTATTCTTCAAATGAAGATGCCCTCTCACTTACATGGAAATGTTCCTCATGTTTTTTTCCCTCTTTCTCAGTTAACTCACTCTCTTTTTCAAAAGCTTCTTCCTTTTATTCTTTAGTATTATTGTTCTTATTTTCAATTATCTTCTCATCTCACAGTATAAGCTCGAATTAAAAGTTATAAATCTTTTTCATTCTTTGTCCTGTAACTCCCACATATCCATCTGTCCAAGTCCAATCTTCCAACTGTTAAGCACTGCCTAATAGATTTTTTTATTGTTGTTGTTATGTGCCCTCAAGTCACTTGCCACTCATAGTGATACTATGTACTACACCCCTGAAACCTGCTCTATCCTAAGCCAACTTTAATGCCTCTGACACACCTACCCTCTTTACTCCAGTCGCTGAATTAATCAATATCATTGAGGGTCTTCCCCTCTTGCTTTGTCTGTTCTTCCACCCTTCCAATCATGATGTCCCTCTCCAGGGACTGATCCTTCCTTGCAACATGCTCAGACTGAGCTTCAGAATCCTTACCTCCAAGGAACAGCCTGGTTTCACCCTCTCTAGGTTGAGCCTGTTTATTCTCTTGGCATCATGGTATATTCAATACTCTTCTCCAGCACCACAGCTCAAAGGCATCAATTCTTCTATCATTCCCAGTCATTGTCCAGCTTTCTGATGCATAATAAGTAATTGCAAAGACAGTGGCCTGAATCACGTGCACATTAGTCTCCAGACTGATATTGTTGCTCTTCAGTATTGTGGAGAGGTCCCTGACAGCAGATTTTTCCAATGCAATTTGTCTTTTAATTTCCTGACTGCTGGTACCAAGAGTGTTGATTGAGGGACCAAACAAACCAAAGCTATTTAAAATTTCAATCTCCTCACCATCTATCATGATGCTACCAATCGGCCTAGTGGTGAGAATCTGTGTTTTTGTTTTCATAGATCCCCAAAATGAAAATATATCTAAAATTTATAATATTTCGCCTCTCCATTTTGTACCTCCCTTGTATTATTACCTATCTTAGGAATTATGATCTACACTCTTGTGTAGAAAGTTTTGATAACTCTTGGAACTTCCTTTTCTTTCACATATAGCATATCTAATGTTATTCCTAACTTCTTTTTTCTCTTATGTTTTTACATTGGGCCAGATGTTTATTACCTTACTCCTGAATTATTATAATAGTCACCTATAAATTTCATGAACTCAATTAGTTCATATTTTCAATCTAGCCTCTATAGTGCTCTTTATGCTATAATTCTTATCTATAATGATAAGACTAGTTATTAGGTACCCAATCTGGGTAAAGCATATTGAAAAAAGAAAAGATAAAAAGGTAAGACAGGGGCTTCTGACAGGTTTCAAACATTATTATAGTTGACTGTTTTGAATTTTTGTTAAAAATTCATGCAAAAATCTTTCCCCATATAATGCATTCAGCCATGAAGGAATTCTTGAGGCAGTTAGGAAGTCAAAGGAACCAGTAAAACAGTTAAGTCCATTCTGTGAAGATGCAAATCTTTAAGAATATGGTTGTCTACTTGCCAGTTTTGCAAAGTGAAATATAAACTGAAACCTTTTAAGAAAGACTGCTAAGTGCCTGGCCTTGCATGTAGAGTGCAGGCACTTAACTTTTGCGAAAAGGATTTTGCAGCGACAGAAAGTCCTTGAACTAGCAATGATAGAACATTGTTTTCTTCATTATTATTTCTGAAAATTAAGAAAAAAACCCCTTTCATGTTGATTTCATTTGATAGCCAGTACTAACTAGAAGATCTTGGATTAATTTGGATTAATTCACCCCCCCCCGTACAGTAGAGTTATAATGGTGAATTATTCCTTTTATTTCTAACATTGAAAATGAATATGCAAGGAGTTGGGCACGAAGGAGCAGGATAACTATAGATATATATAGTTTTGCTAATGGTGAGAAAGATTTTAGTAGGAGAGTATTATCCAGGGTAAGCTGTGTGAAATCCAGAGGTATGTTCTTTTAGAGGATTTATCTCTCTTGATTATCTAAAGAAATAGCTTTACTCAAGTATAATTCTTTCCCCCCTAAATGACAAGCCTTCTGAGAAGAACATGTGGCTTTT